ATATATAAAAAAAAAATCTAAATCAGTATGGCATAAGCGACATGAGGGAAGCCATTTTTCAGAAAAACATAAAACAAGAGGTTCTCTTTAAGATCCTCATGATGGCTTGGCAATGTTATTTCATTTTTATCAATTTATTTATTTTTAAATGTCACATATTTGATCTTATTATGAAAAGATATGTTGCGTTGAGGAAAATGGTTACTTCGTAAAAAGTTTTTTTTTTTAAAGAAAATAATTTTATTTTAGTAATTTCTTCTTGATGGATACACCCACCACATTATTTTTTTAGAGACATTACATAATTTTATTAGAATTTCTAATAAACAAACAAAAGACTACATTTAGCAAACTTGCCGCGTGATTTGAACTAGATTGTAAAACCTTTCTAATTTATTATTAAAGACTTGACATTGACCCATATTCTGATTTAGCTTGGCTTAAAATACTTATACTACCATATTACTGATTCTGTTTGACAAAAGAACTGAAGTATTAACTCATGCCATATGGGTGCATTAATTGTATTCACTGCGCAACTGCACAGCGGTAAAACACGGTGAACAGAGAAATAATCAAGCAGACAAATAAAACCAAACTTATTACCTGTTGCGTTCGCCATTATTGTTGAGCTTCGTTTTTCCTGAAAAAATGATTAGAAACTTGATTATTCTGTGTTGCTGGGTTGAAAGCAAACGTTTCAATAACTACTTGTACTTCAGAGGAAGGACAATATAAAGTATGTCGAGGAGGAGACTCGGCTCATTTACTTTCAGGACAGCAACGCGTCGCGACACTCTGCCGATTCATAAAAACCAATCAGAGTAGTGCCATCTTCATCACGTGGGCAAAATCTTAATCTGCATACTTTAACAGACAAAAGACTTATCTATTTATATTATTTAGAACTGAAGCAAACATCCTGAATATTTGAAACTACATTGAAGTTAGGGCGCGTTGCGCAAGACATGATCGCATTCGTCACCATTTATCCACCAGACTTTGTACGTTTTATGTTACTGATTGGACAAAACGGGCCTTTTTCCCCAAAAAAACTTTTATATATTTTCATCTTCTCTAACCTGGGCTTCAAAGCTGGCGTTTTTATTAATTTGAGCACTTGTGTTGCCAGATCCTCTGCCGCATGTTCCGCTGCGTGGCGAAACACGTGCTTCGAGTGACTCCAGCCAGCGTGGAAATACACGCTTACACTACAACCCCATTGTGCTCGCCTCAGAGAGGAGGACATGGAGTTTGAGGAGTCGGGCATTGGGGAGGAATGCGGGGTGTTCGGCTGTGTGGCGGCGGGGGAATGGCCAACACAACTGGAGGTCGCGCAGATCTTAGACTGATGGTTTTTCAGCAGGAATCTATTTGACCTAATTTGCATCACTCCTAGGGACTGAACAATTAAGTAGTGTTTAAATCAGGTTTGTTTCAGCCTGTTTAGACATAAGGACCACCAACCCCCGACCCCAGTCAATCTAGGTAACCCCTATTCAATAAGCTTTTTCTTAATCATCATATTCTATAATTATTAACAGATCGTAAGTTACTGTACTACATTTAAATAGATGTTTCTTTTTTAAGTATATATTTATATTGTTCTTTTGGATTTTTAAAGCATTTAGGATACATTATTTCCTATATGCTTTATATATCCATCCTGGGGAATAAATGCTTCATCGAAGCTGGTTTTAGCTGTTCTCCCAGTCTAGTCAGGCTGATATTTGAGGGGTTTTGGCCAGTTTTCAGCTGGTCGAGCTGAAAGACCAGTTTATTCCAGCTAAGACCAGCAAATAATCTGAGGCTGTGTTAATTTTATTTTTCCCAGCATGTGGTAAAAAAAATCTTCCCTAAATGACAATACTGAAATTATGAACATGCATAATTCACTGGTACAACTTTACAATGGCCTAATCTGTTTTTTAATGTTATAACGGTTTTACGAATGCTGATGTAGCTCATAGTTAAAAAAAAAAAAAAACTAGTATGCAATAATGGTTTGCAATACCCTGCAGCTATGCAGTTGAATGACAGATCAATAGACTTCCATTGTCCTGCCGTCTCACCGATTGTTCAGACGTGAGTGCATTAGATGCCATTGAACAGACAGAGGTGATCTCCATGATCGGAATGTATGGATCCTCCTCTTCTTTGCATTGGAAGTCTATATTCTCAGACCAATCTGTGCTGCTTTCTCCATCATCAGTGCTCTGATGAAATTGTTTACAAAGCAAACGATCCCCTAAAACATAAGATAAAGTGTTATATGGGTCAAAGAACGTCTTTGTTCACTGACAATTTCTTAATATGCTACTTTTGTCAAAGAATCTAATACTGACTGAATTTTATAATTAATGTATTATATCAGTAATCAATATATTTTCTTTTTTTCTTTGACTTTCAGATGGCGAAATAGTTCAGGATTGTTTGCCACTGATGAATTGTCTGTCAATTAAATCACAGCTATGAAATGCTGTCCATGTTTCCTATCAATGTGTTCTTATTCCTGTCTTAATCCTATTAGTCAAACTGAAGTCACAAGATCAACTCACAACTGACTCTCACTGCTCATTACAAATTTGAGTATGTCTCTGTAATGAGGAGAAAATAATGAAAAACCTTCATCTGCAGCTTTCCTCTTTCTTCCTTTGGTAGCCGCCGCATGCTCTCCCCTTGTGTATGATAGGTCGCTGCTGTCTACATTGCAAATGCACACATATTGAGACAAAACATTTAATTAAAAAGGATCATAAGTCAGTGGTTCTTAACTGGTGGGCCGTGAGCAAAAAAAAAAAGGTCTGATACCGTTGCTACCAGCAGAGGAAGGAACAATACTAAGTGCAAATAATAAAATGCTACTTTCTATAATTAGTAAAGGTCTTTCTGTTTAAGGGAGGGAGATACTTCCCATATCTTGTGTTGCTGACGTCAATGGCTTTGTGTTTGATCAAACTGTTATTTTACGAATTCATCTGTCAGAACATGCTACATCACTGGTTGCATCATCCTCAAACATGCCCTCATTTTCAAAAACAATGAACAAAACATTGCCAGTTAAAATAAAATATGATTGAGACTACAATAAATCTGGATTCAAGAATTGAATCAGTGTGTTATTGTCTTAAAAATATATATTAAAATATATATATATATATATATGTTAAGTGTTTGTTTAATTTTTAAATCTTGTATTCCACTTAATTTCATTTAGTTTACATTTATATGATAAACTAATTTGGTCATGCTTTGGGCCACCACATATCTAATGTCAAATCTGATGCGAAACCAGTTGAGAACCACTGGTACAATACTTTTATTACCTGGGTTCCTTCTGTACAGCATAACACCAGTGATGGAGTCAGTGGATTCATGCTGTTCATATTCTATCTGAGGGCTGCCAGTTGACCTCACTATCGTGGCATTCATTTCAGGCATCCCATATTCAACATTTGACACTTCCTCTGGTCTTGTTAAAATGCCTTCGGTGTCAACTTGGTTCTGAAAGACCCTTGCAGAAATGGCAGGAGATCTCAAAGCGGCCTCATCCATGGGTGACTGGTCATATCTAACCGCAACAATGTCATTGTCCTCCTGTGGAAGTCCAGACATTGAGTGCTCCTCAAATGCTGGTGGAGTGAACATCCTAGAGTTCCTCAGTAAATTATTTGTGTCGGAAAACTTGGCGTAGGTCAGGCGACTTCTAGGAGGCTTGGACAAAAGTGCATCCAGCTGTTCGTAAAATCTCATGACACGGCGAGGATCCCCGATATCTGCTTTTCCTCTCTGCAGAGAGCGGTAGAGGTACTTCAGGTTTTTGTACTTGGTGCGACACTGTTTCCAGTCCCTTTCCACGCCCTGCTGAAGAAGCCTTCGTGAAATCTGCACGAATATGTCTTTGTTTCTGGTTGAGCCCTGTAGCTGTCGCTGAATGCCTTCTTCGGCCCAGATCTGAAGCAGTGCGGCCACCTCTTCCTCACTCCAGTTTCTGCCCGAGTCGTGCACTGTGATTATGTTCATCTCGTTTGCGGCTGCTGCTGTTGTTGCTGAGGAAGAAATTGGTTTTTAGAGTTTTTTTTTAATGTTGAAGATGTTGAAACAACATTTAACATTTCTGTTTATATCAGAACTCACCTATCTCTCTTGCAATCAGTGGATGAGTGGCGGCATTCATTATTGTTTGCATCTCTGCCAGGCTTTCATCTTAAAGAAAGGAATAAAGTTGCAGATGGTGAACTTGATGGCGAACTTGAACCATCACTGTTTTGTGGTAATTAATATCACAAATCTTACCGTCATCGATCTTGATAACCTGTCCTTCGACAGGTTCACGCCTCATGGCCAACTGGTCCCTGTCTGGTATGTTCCTAGATGACTCGTCCTCATCAAATCCATCCTCAATGTCTTTGCCCTGCATTATAGCATTAAGCTCAGCAAAAAACCTTATCGGCCGACCTTGACTCTTGCTGACTTTGTAGTCATATTTCATGTTCTTGTATTTGGTGCGGCACTGTCTCCAGTCTCGTACCACACCATGTTGGCGCTCCAGCCGACGGGCCATCTCCTGGAAGATGGTCTTGTTTCTGTGGGAGCGTTGGAGCTGCTTGTGAACCTCCTTGTCGGCCCAAACAGTAAGGAGAGCCCGAACCTCCTTGTCAGACCAGTGCCTCCCTCCTTCCAGCCCTAGAAGTAAATTGGTTCTCGCTAGTAAACAGGTTTGGCAAGATTAGCTAGATGAAAATTTTGTATAAATAATGGGGCTGGATTTATACACAAACCAGGTGGGTTTTTAAATTCCACCAGGTTTTTGTTTGGTTTTCAGACTTTTCGACTACAAGGCCCTCCTAGTCCACAACAAAATTTGGCCACATGACTTTTCCAGTTGTTTGTGAAGGATTAAGGATGTTTTTTTGTTTGTTTGTTTGTTTTTTACTCACAATTTTTGCCTGCTAAATTATTTTAGTGCTTGGCGTGACTAGAAAAATGTATTCATTAAAAAATGCTCATGGAGTAAGATATATGGAGTAAGACCAGTTTTTCAAGACTATGGAAGTCCTGTTTTTCAAAAGAAGTCGTTGAAGGGGAGGGGGAGGAGGATTAGCCTAAGGCTTTTTTAGTTGTTTTGGCAATTTAATGCTTGTTTTTGTCTTATTTTAAATCGTTTTAAGTCATTTTGAGGCCCCATAGTGGGCCCAGGCCCCTGATTGAGAACCACTGTTGTATAAGACATTTTAAAAATTGTTGTAGAATGCCAGTAAAAAAAATTTTTTATTATTTAATTATATATTATTTATGTAATTATTTAATTATGCAAGCTACATATAAAATATATATATAAAAAAAAGAGCAAATATCCAATTGTAACTCGAATGCTTCATACAAAAATGTTGTGCTTTCCTGATTGTAGCTTTGTTATCATGTGAGTGTTACCTTCCTGAAGACCTGGCAGTGAAGCAGGCTCCTCTCTTCTGGCAGCCGTCGGTTCTTCATCTGTCATGTAAGGCCTTTGGGTCGGCGGCCTGCTATCTGCAGAAGAGTGTTTGTAGATGGTCTGCGTAGGCCTCCAGTCTGGAAGAGCCATGCTCCTACTCTGGGCCTTACAGTCAATCCAGTCTCTACACACCCCAAGCTCTCTCAAACGGCTTGAGATGGCCTCATACTTGGCCCTGCTTTCTTCCTCTTCCCAGGCTTGTCTCTCCCTCCACACGGAAAGTAGTGCTTTCACTTCCTCCCCTCTCCAGTGTCCAGCTGTGTCCCTCTGCCTCTTGTCCTCCCCAGCATGCCTTTGTTGGTCTGTTTCAGGCTCCATGTTTCTAAGCTTGCCTAGAAATGGCTTCTGTTTGTTCGCCTCTGCCTTTATCCTCTCTGCTCCCCCTCCCTGTTGACTTTAAGCTCAGTGTCCAAGGCAACCAGACGACTGAGCCAGTTAGGAACAGCCACGTGACAGAGAACAGCCACATGACTGGCTTAAGCTGTGTGCTGCGGGGGAGGGCCAGGGAAGAAATGTGAGAAGTGGCTTGGCGAATGAGCTGCACTTGCTGCGTCGATCTTTACTCAATAAGACATGTGGAAGAGGCTCAGAGGCATTTGGCTGTGCTAACATGTCTATTTTGAATGTCTTCTATGTTTATTCTGTCACATCTTTGGGATGAACTGCCTATGCTTTCCGTCTCCTTTTCTCTCATACTCACACTCACTCACTCACTCACACTCTCTCTCTCTCTCTCTCTCTCTCTCTGTGTGCTGCGGGGGAGGGCCAGGGAAGAAATGTGAGAAGTGGCTTGGCGAATGAGCTGCACTTGCTGCGTCGATCTTTACTCAATAAGACATGTGGAATAGGCTCAGAGGCATTTGGCTGTGCTAACATGTCTATTTTGAATGTCTTCTATGTTTATTCTGTCACATCTTTGGGATGAACTGCCTATGCTTTCCGTCTCCTTTTCTCTCATACTCACACTCACTCTCTCTCTCTCTCTCTCTCTCTCTCTCTCTCTCTCTCTAGTTCCCCTTCCCCCTCTTTCTCATTGTCATTCTCTGGCTAACGCTTCACATAAACCAGTTTGATCTGCTTTAGTCACACGCTGTGCAGTCATTCACTCATAGAAACAGATTTGGCTTGATTTTGATTTTGTTGGTTTAAAATATCAGGAAAGAATGGGAGGGACACATTCTCTATTCAGACTCTAGTCTTGCAAAGACATGTTTTCTAATGGATTACCACATGCAATATCACTTCTTCAACAAACACCATCAGTGTGTCTCAATATATGCACTTTTTATTATTATTATTAAAGGTACATTCCTTTATTCAAAGAAAAGTTTAGCACATCAAGAAGTTAATAAAAATCATGTACACTCACATGAGATGAAGAATTAAGCCATATTAGAAGCGTAATAAAAGCCTTTTTATTTCTTTGTTCAGATCACATGACCTCTATATTTTTGGTATGAACACTAAATTAATCATGCCTGATTGTAAATAGATCATTCCTACAATGTTATCAGTAACTGAAAACTTTTGTGTAATGCCTCCTCCAGGTGTCAGTATTCACTACTTTTCCAAATGTCTTTAATGTCTATGAAAAAGAAAAACTATTTAAAATAACTGTTTTCTATTTGACTATATGCATATTTTGAAATGTGGTTTATTCCTGTGACGGCAAAGCTGAATTTTCAGCAGCCATTACAACCATTACAAACAATTTTTCAGGATTCTTTGATGAAGAGAAAAAGATCAGCATTTTTCTGAATGAAATATTTTGTATCATTATAAATGTCTTTACTGTAATTTTTTAGCATTTTAATGTGTCCCTGCTGAATAAACTAATTGACACCACATTTTTGATTGGTATGTCTGTGTAAGTATGTATAAGACAATTGCTAAATTTGCATAATTTATTGTAGATCTTTAATGTGAAAACAAAAACTCTTTTAGAATACTCTTTGTTCAATAGGGGTCAGGAGAGTGCTGGAATTGTCATGAGTACTGGAACAAACCCACCAACATACACCACCCTAAAGGTAATGTAGGAATAACACAGCATTTCAATGCATACAGCATCTGCTTCTCACTTAAAACATGATTTGTTCCTGTCCCATGGGCCAACACATTTCAACATAAAGCAATGAATGCAAGATTAGACATGCCTGACATAATTGCTTCTCACAGGGCATGGGTTTAGTGAATACAGCTTTTAAAGCGGAGGATTTGCTGAAACTGCGCAATGGTAACCTAGGCATCGGACACACGCGTTACTCCACCACGGGCATCTCAGAGCTGCAGAACTGCCAGCCTTTTGTGGTAGACACACTGCATGGCAAGATTGCAGTAGCACACAATGGGGAACTGGTCAATGCCTCCGCACTGCGCAAGAAGGTGGGTTTTGATACTTAAGGATTACATGAGACTCTGCATACAGTTTCAGGAGAAGGGAGGAGGTTTTTTCTATTCGATATAAAGTATTTGTGTGTTGTAGGTTATGCGCCATGGCGTTGGCCTCTCCACCAGCTCAGACAGTGAACTTATTACCCAGCTCCTAGCTTTGACTCCACCCATGGAGGAGCAAGACACTCCTGATTGGGTGGCTCGGTAAGTTGTGCATGTCCTTCCCCATCCCAACATCTGATTGGGTCACCACTTGTTAAACCCTATCAGTATTACTGATTGCAAAGTGAAGTCCATTTCTGCAGTCTTCATTTTTATGTGTTTGTATGGTTTCTTTTTCTCAGTATAAAGAACCTGATGACTGAGACGCCTACTTCGTACTCACTGCTAGTGATGTATAAAGATGTGATCTATGCAGTGAGAGACCCCTATGGAAACAGGCCTCTTTCTATTGGACGTCTAGTGCCCATCTCCAAACTGCACAGCTCAGGTGTGTGATTCAGCAGTGAGGGGAAGGGTTTGAGGTGAATGCATCTCCGCATCTGCCATGAGTTTTGGTCACTTATTTGGGAACATAACATGCGACAGCAAACTTCCTATATTTGATGTCAACAAAAGAGATGCTTTAAGTGCTGTTAAAGGGATAGTTCACCCAAAAATGAAAATATTATGTTTATCTGCTTACCCCCAGGGCATCCAAGATGTAGGTGACTTTGTTTCTTCAGTAGAACACATATGATGATTTTTAACTTTAACCGTTGCAGTCTATCAGTATAATGCATGGCAATGGTAACAAAATCTATGAGAGTAAAAAAAACATGCACAGACAAATCCAAATTAAGCCCTGTGGCTCGTGACGACACACTGATTTCCTAAGACACGAAACGATCGGTTTACTAAAAGATTACGTTCTCTCGCGCGAACTCATTCGGGAGTGGTGACTTCCACGTATTCCCAACTTCTGAGCCTGCTCGCCTGAAGTTATGGTTGATTGCTCTTCGGCTGGATATCAACACACCCATTAACATAAACTACGCCAGAGCGCGTACACGCCTCACGCCCCGGATGCCGTGCGCGCGCCCAAAGACAGTTGGACATAGTGGTGTATCAGAGGTAATATTTTACATGATTTTAACGGTTAAAGTTAAAAATCATCATATGTGTTCTACTGAAGAAACAAAGTCACCTACATCTTGGATGCCCTGGGGGTAAGCAGATAAACATCAAATTTTCATTTTTGAATGAACTATCCCTGTAAGGGCTATAAATATTAGTATTATATAAATATTAGTAGTTTTATAGTTATACTGTAAAATAAAATAATTCATTATTATTATTATTATTATTATTATTGTATTAAAAATTCTTATGGCAAATATTTCTTATTGTTTAATTAATTTTAGTAATAATAATAGTAAATAACATTTATTATCTGTGAATAGCTCTCACACTCAACTACGAGGTACAACATGCTACAACTGGCAATCAACTTCTGAAGACAGGATGGACACAATCAAACTACAACAGATGCAAAGGGCTAATTATATAGTGTCAGGGATTTAGATTAAAATGTTATGGAGTGTGACTGTTGAGCTTTCATTTTTAGTATGCAAAATTTAGTAGCTTAATTGTTTTTCTCCATGACTTTTGGGGGCTGTTTATAGGAATATGTATATATTCATGATTGTGCATGTCACAGGATGCAAAATAAAGTCTGAAGGGGTGCATGTGGCCTGTCTGTGCTGTACCCTTAGGTCTAGAATGGTGCTAAACTTGTTGTTTAATTATGTAGGTGCTGGAGAAACAGACACAGAAGGCTGGGTGGTCTCTTCTGAGTCCTGCAGCTTCCAGTCCATTGGAGCAAAGTATGTTCACATCATTCTAACAGAAACGCTTTGATTACTCTTTTTGGCTATCTATACATTTCTTTAAAGGGGTTTCCATCCCTAAGCCCGCACGCAGTAGCTGCTGCATGTTTTATAATCTAGTTTGTTTATTGTGTATGTGTTTTAATTTTTCTGTTGTCAGGTATTATCGTGAAGTACAGCCCGGAGAGATCATCCAGATCTCTAAAAATGGAGTGAAGAGCCTGAGTGTTGTCCCACGGCCAGAGGGAGACCCTCCTGCATTCTGCATATTTGAGTATGTTTACTTTGCCAGGCCAGACTCCATATTTGAAGGTAAGTTCATAATATTTAATATCATTCTTATGTTTTGAGTGAAAGGAAAGATTGAGATGTAACAGTAATGTTTGGGTTAAACCAAATGATTGGGGTTAGTAAGATTTTCAACCACCTTGTATTGTCACAGATGTTGGTAGTATATGTAAATAAACAATGTGTACACTTTCTCCATGTTACCTGCGCTCAGATCTTCCCATTTGTTTTTCAGTTAAAGTCCATCCTATGATGCATTTTGTTAAAATTGCAGATCATGCTTCTACATGTTTGTATCCCAGCTCACAGTCAGTCTGATCAAACACAGTGCATTATGGGTGTTGAAGTTTCTATACCTTTTTCGCAAAAGGGAACACCACAGGTCTTTTGCTCGTTTCTCTAGTCACCTATTATCACCCCCCCCCCCCCAGTGAATTAACCCTTTAAACCGCTCAAAAGTGAGTCAAGACAGTAAGCATTTCTAAGATTCCTATTTTAAACAACTACTGTATTATTAAGAAACAGTTCTTTCAAAAAACAATCATAGTGGACACAAATTTGGAACGGTAGTATATATTATTTTGTATTATATAAAGAGTTTTTATTATATAATTATGTAGTACTAGGTGAAATAAGTGGTATTTTCTTTGGTGTTACAGGCCAGATGGTATATACAGTGAGGCAGCGCTGTGGACAGCAGTTGGCCATTGAGGCTCCCACTGATGCTGATGTAGTGAGCACTGTTCCAGAATCAGCCACACCTGCAGCATTAGGATACGCACAACAAGTGAGTAATAAGGATGCTGTACACATCTGTCATAATGCTTTATTGTTTTCATTGAGCCATTACAAAGTGTTACATTCTGTCTCTTTCACAGTCTGGCCTTCCATATGTAGAGGTGCTGTGTAAGAACCGCTACGTGGGCAGAACGTTCATTCAACCAAACACTCGCCTACGTCAGCTTGGAGTTGCCAAGAAGTTTGGGGCGTTAACTGATAACTTTGCTGGCAAACGAGTGGTGCTTATCGATGATTCGATTGTGAGGGGCAACACCATCTCCCCTATTATTAAACTGCTGAAGGAAGCAGGTGCAACAGAGGTAAAAATATATTTGAATCAGTACTCTATGTTGGCTGCTTTGGTCTAGTTTCACGACACAGTGTCTTTGTCATGTC